CAGTAAAGATACTGCCAACATGGAAATTTCTTGATTAGACTTTTTTTGGTGTGAAAGAACACATGAGAATAGAGAAGACATTCTTCCTATGTTTACTGTACACACATGCATAAATCAGTGACCCTTTTTTAATTATGTGCAGAGCAGACATACAGAAAAGTGCTAAGATTAGAGGGATACTTCTGCTCCCCAAGAAATCAGTGGTAAGGCAACTATTACTTCAAATGTAAAAGGACTGGTTTCCTCAAGAGAAAAATTATTTACATCTCCAAAAAATACTCCTGATAGAGCACAGTGTTCTGAAATTTTCCTTACCTTTACACTTGTAATTTTATATATAAACAGTGTTCCATGTATTTGATTTTTGAGTGTGGATCTTTGACTTTTGTGGCCAGTAACTACACATGGACAAAGCACCAGTAGTCCCAGAACACAGCACCCTACTAGTAATAACATTTCTCCTGTAACATTTTGGCAGTTCTGCATTTTCCTATGTGCTCTAATTTTAGATGTTAGTAGTTCCACTTTGACACATGATTTGGGGAAAAACCTGAAGAACAAATACAAAACACATAATTTCTACACATAATGTATTTTCCTCCTTACATTTAGATTTTTTTTTCATATAATTATACTGGATAATTCATATTACATATTATTTTAATTGTCATTGTTGAGGCTCACTTAACATTCTTAAGCATACCAGTTTTAGAACTGTCTTCCTCCTGGAAATATATTCATTGACTTAAACATACTAAAACTCTATTTATTATTTAGTAAAAAAACATAGTACTCTATAGAGAATTTACTCATTAAATGATCCCATATTCACAGAATTCACACCTAGGATAGAAAATGCTGTACAATTTTTAAAAAGCTTAAAATATTGATAATAATTCAAATGAGTATACTGATTAGATATACAAGTGTGTAAGTTAATTAATAACTATCTACATTTTCAGGTGGAAAAACAGAATAAAATGCATAAGCGTACTTCCTATGATCACAAAGCAGAGGACAGAAGAGACCAGGAAAAAACCTACAATCTTTCATGTTATGCGTTTGTCCTATGTATACTATTCTATAGAATAGTATATTCTATAGAATGCTTGCTGGGAAAGGGTAAGGCATAATTCTTAAGAGCACTTGGAACTGATTCTTTCTAATCAACAAATTGATGATACCAGCTTACTTTAAATAAAAAAAAAAAGGTGAAAGAAAATAGCTCTAAAGAAATTTGTGTTATAGAAAGGGTCAGCTTACTAATTATGACAGAGAGATTTCTAAATTAAATGCCACAATATATTTCGTAAATACATCATCTACTCCCCAAGGCTATGTAGTTCATTAAGCCTTGAATTTTAGCTTACAATTTGGATCTCATGATATATTGCATGTAGGAAACCAGAAACTACAGGATCACCTATCTAAAACTACTGGGACTCATACCCACCTTCACATCTGCTCAACATCAGTTTACAGAGAGGCCTCACTTTGGTTTTTAGACGGCTAGATTATCATCAACAGTTCTGTTTGCATTTACTTTACGAGTGCTTTCAACATTCATATGCATTATTTGATCTCTAAGAGGTTAGTCTTAAATCACATGTTACAGAGGGGATCAGTTTCTATCGTAGGTGGCTGAGTGTCTAGCTCAGAAGTTCCATTAACTTATTACACTTCGCTACTGTTAAGGAAAACCTAACGAGAAGTGCAGTCCTACGAGACTGAAGTTACCTGGAAAGGGGAGAAACTATGAGAAGGGGAAGGTCCCTTCTATGTGCAGAAAGGGTTCTCTCCACAGCACAGCCCAAATGGTAGCACCTGTCAAAAGCTGGCTCACGATGCTCAGATAACTGCCGAACGCTACCTGAGGGAATTCTCTCTGAGAGCTTTGTTTTGAGCTGCATCTATATCTGCATCTATATATATCTGTATCTATAGTCTACATTTTTGTTAACTAAATTCCTGGACCACAGGAGACACAACGAGTGTTCAGACATTAAATGACTTCTGAACTTATCCAGGAATCAAAGGTATGAATACAGCAAAGGGCACTCAAACTACCCACCACGCGACTCGACACTGCGAGACTTTGGGCTGCAGCACCCAAGAGAAAGCATTCCAAAGAATTTTTTCTTTTACTTTTTTTTTTTTAATAGCAATAATAATTTTCCCGTATTTTTGGCAGGGCGCACACCACCTCTGAGCACACGTCAGCCAGCCGTGCCTCCCACCCACGCGGTGCCGCCGCCCGCCTGCACCCGACCCGCAGCCGGGAACAACCGCGGGCCCCGGGGCGCCGCAGTGNCAGTGATACTGCCCTCAGAAGACCTTCCTGGCATGCTTACAACCCTCACTGGATATTCAGAATATCCAACAGCCTTCACGTTGTCACAGTCCCAAGCGATGATTATGTGATACAGCCCCATCATGATGGCTAAAATTGGTCATGAGCCATGTACTCATCAAAAAATGTTATCACCACTAGATAGTTTTTCAGAAGCATATATCTTTCTCCTTTTCCTTCTCAGCAGAAGGAAAAGAAAAAAGGACTACTACTCTGGAAAGAGGAGCTCATAGAAATACCTATGTTTGCTCTCCTTAGTAGTTTAGTCCCTCAAAATAGCAGCATGTGTAAGCACACTTTTGCCAAAACAGTTTTTAAACAATGCATTTAAAAGGTTTGGAGAGTTTTGCTATGCTTATGCCTTTTACACAACCCAGTAAGTTTTCTGGGGTGAAATCGATGTGGATTGGGGATACAGATACTACAGCTTTTTCTGCATGGTTTCAGGAAAAGTCAAAAAAAGCAAAGCACTGATTCACTTACATATATTGTTGATCTTTTCCAGGTTTACTTACATAGAAAATTTTAGGCTTTCAGTTAAGGTTTTGAGGTTTTGAGTGATGTAAATTGTATGAGCAGCAGACCATTGTCATTTCACTTTGGCAGAGGTACTGATTTATCCTAGGCTTTCTTCTTACTGGAAGAGATGATGTTAGAGGATACGTCTATTGAGAAGATAGTACACAAATCCACCAAAAATGCTTTAGTTAATATTTGCTAGCAGATAAACCAGGGAAATATGCAAATTGTACTAATTTAGTTCTTTAAGGCATTTTAGTTTTACCTTCAATAAGATAAGAAATATTATGTCACCTTATTATAATCTTGTAAAACATTTAGATATTTGAAGCTAACATGGTTCTGGGAAAGAAGACAATGAGGATAGCATGCCACTGTCCAATTACAGCAATATATGTATTGAAATAAAAATATTTAAACAGATGTTATAAAAGATTCCATTTCCATTGTACAGCATAGGCACATCTGCTGTACTTTAAATACTTCTTATCCATGCCAAAGAAATACTATGAAGAGAAAATGCCTTTTTTGTGCTTTTCCTTTGAGTTTACTCTATGTGAATACGGAAAGAGTCTTTTCAATAGGAAAAAAGGCACTGATTGTAATCGCAACATTTTGTGTTTGCCCTACAGCTGCCATTTGTGACTAGTATGGAAATCAAGTCCTGGCTCTTGTTTTTTGGCCTCTTTTAAAAACCTTGAATATTGCTAAAATAGTATTGGGCAGGAAGGAAAGGAGGGACAGCATTGTGCAAGACCAAACTAATATAAAAATGCTGCAGTGCTACACTCATTTCCTTCCAAATCATTTTCAGGCATCAGCTTATTGGTATTGTTCTTTACAAAGGAAATATGAGATAGTCACAGTACTATCACCAGTGATGAAGTGCACCTATGCTGATATTTATGATATACGTTTGTTTTGGGAGTGTGCTTGAGTTTTAGTATTAAGGCCTCAAGCACATACATTGCAGACTTAGCCAGGAGTGGGGTGTAGTAGTAGTTAGAGTAGTAACTTTAATTACTTATAAGGTAAGGCTCTTATGTTTGCTCAATGGTGAGTCTGGAAGACTTAATACAGCTATGTTTAGCAGTGATATTTAGTAAAAAGCATCCACTACTACTGACTATGTACTTTACCAGTGCAAGAGTCTCAGAACTACAGACCACTCCAACAGGCAGTCTTCCCTCCTTGAGCTGCTTCTGTTACAAACCCATTACAGATTCCCAGATGACACAGGTACCCAGTCTCTTATTTTGACCATGTAAGTTTAACTATAAGATAATATTTAAAGCTAGCAGATGGATGGGGCACTGAAAGAAGAAAATCTTGAAACCATGTTTATACAGATTTTTCTGGGAAGCAAGTGTTCAACAGCAGTCTGACAGGGGATCCATAAGCTAGCAGCTCTGCTTCCAAAGGGTTCAAAGAGCCCAAGAAAAACCCTAAGGGACACAGAAGTTTTGCCATTAACTCAAGTGAGATTGGAGTAGGAGTAGAATATACATTTTACAGCCTTGGAAGTTATGCAGAAATGGCCCTGTAGATCCTGTCAACCATAAACTTAGAGACAGAGACAACATTACTAATCACTATCCCATGGTTTTAGAGGTGGGGTTTTAGAGAAAGTGAATAAAATCTTCAATATGTCACCTTAAAGGCTGCTGGGTACAAGACATACAAACATTTGCTTTGTAGGACAAAAATCTCCAGAATTTTGTTACTATGAGCAAGCATTCCAATAGTATTAATGTGCTTGGAATAAATTGCACTGTTGCATGATGCTTTTGCACTTGCAACTGCTAGAACATGAAATCAGATGAACTAATATTATTCTCTAATGTACTTTACAATGTTCAATTATTTCAAAAGCACAGTTTATGAAAATTATGCTCACTTTCTGGCAGAAGAATATTTATGCCATAGCAGGAACCTCAGATATAAGACACTATACAAAAGGAATTTAAAAGTAATGGGTTTGTACTTCACTTGTCAGCATTGGTAGTGCAAGAAGCTGATGAGATTTCTATCTCTACTGATAATACTGTCCATATGTTTCCTTTAAATTGTTACTGTGCCTTAATTTAGACTACTGCCTTATGGTCTTAGTATTTTTTTTTTCCTNGCCCGCGCCCGGCTGCGACCTGCGGCCGCCGAGGTACCCCGGCCCTGCTTCCGCTCAGCCGGCAGGGAGCGGCCCGGGGAGGGGGCGGAAAGAAGTCACTCCCCTTCTAAAAGGTGGTGGTGTCCCCCTCCGGCTTTCGTGAGCTCCTCAGTGCCCACACCTGAACCCGGCTTACTGATCCCTGCCCTTGCTTCTCCTTGACTTGGTTTGAATTGGAGGGGCAATACAAGCGTTTTAATTGAAATAAGCAGCTCAGGAGTATTTTATTGGCGCTCCAGAGCACTGTGTGTCTGTCCCGTCCCCTCCGCCCCCAGCAATAAACGCAGAGTGGGTGAGTGAAAGGAAGGTGCAGTCCACATTTCAGGATTTTTCCTGGACCCTTCCTCCAGTCTGCTGTCCATCCTGTCATCGCCTATGAAACTGTATGCTAAAGTCTGTCATTTCTTGTGCATGAAAAATGAGCTGGGCAGTACAGCCTGTGAAGAGGATTTGGCACTTGGAAGAAACCCAACACATAGCATGAGAAAGGTGAGTCTAGAGCGCAGTGAAACACGCCCACACCCTTCTGTTGTGCTAGTGTGGCCTGCGAAGTGCAGGGGTTTTTATGATACTAATGTACACATGATTTTAAAACTGACGAGGAGATGAAGGAATGTAGACCAGCAGGTCTCCCTGTTTTGCAAACTGTACATTAAATATTTTCTATTAAATATTTTCTATAAATTGTTACAGATAGCATCTTCCTAAGTAATCAGTGTATGACCATAAGCTTCCACCTACAGTCAATACAAATTGCCTCGAGTGCCTTGTGAGAAGGGTAGGAATCTCAGCAGGATGTTTGGGGCTTACATGTAGGTCTTACCAAAGAAAAACTCAAACTGCTTCCTTCAGGCTCATAACTCCTCTCTGCTCTACAGTGTTGGGGACAAATGATTAATTCAAATGGCGATCATCTGCCAGTGCCTTTCAGACTTCTCCATCTTCTCTGCTCTCTGTTGTAATTTCTTTGGTTGTACCAAGTAAGTTTCTTAAATACATGTGCTATTTCATATTTCACACCTGCCTTTTAGTTGGTTGCCTTGCTGCCAACAGCTTCTTTAGCACTATTAAAGAAATAACTTTTAACATTGGGATACTGAGCAGTATGATGAAAAATCTAAGGAAATGTAACTAAAGTTCCCTTTTGCAAAATGGATGCAGCTAAGAAACTGGCATAGCAGAGGAAAATGTCACAAAAGGCAATTCTTTTTCATTTTGCCTAAAAAAAAAAAAAAAATCATCAAATTAAAGTGCATGCCAGAGGAATAGAAGAGGCTTCCAGTCAGTGAGATCAAAGCTGCAGCTCTTCCTTTGCTATCGTCCATGCGGGGAAAAAATGAGAATTTTTTTGCATCTAAGCAATCAATCTACTCGAGGAAAATCAATGCTATTCATTTGTCAATATGCAAGTGTTTGAAAGTCAGTAGAAACAGAGCTTGGAAGGTAAGGAGCTCTAGATTCTCAGTCAAATTAATGAATTATAACATAGTGCGTGCATTACAGATAATCAATAAAACTCACTGATTTTGTAGGTCCATTCCACAAGACACTCCTCAGAGCCCCGGCCCGGCCGCCAGAGGGCAGCCGAGCGGCGCCGCCTTCGGGAGCGGGGCCGGCAGGAAACGGGCGGAGCGGGGCTGGCAGGGTCCCGCAGGGATTGCCAGCAGTGCCGCTTCCCAAAACCTGCCTCGGTGCCCTGAACCTGTCCTTGACCGAGCTACGGCCCTGCCCTGGAACAGCCCTCTGCAGGTGCCAACACTTCGGTTTCCAAGGAATGCAGTGCGTGTCGGCAAAAAGGGGATGTTGCTCACGTGCTTGACTGTGGGCAGACACCACTCAGAGGTGGTTATCTTTTTGTAGAGTGACCATTAAAAGAGCCTGTAACACTTTGTGGATTGTGTAAACTAGACATGCCCACAGTGAGCCAGGAATCTTGCCTGAATCCATGCTTCATTCGGAAGTGTCCTAATTAGAGAGCAATTAGAGCAAGACAGCCAAAATTAACTCTGGCATTTGTATTATGAGTAATCATGTCACTTTCTGATTAAGACACCAGTGAAACTTCTCAGAGAAACTTAGAGAGCAAGGAATAAATATTTGAGTAGTTCAGATATCAGCCTGGGTCAACCAAAGAGTCTCCAAACTGCCCAGAAATGTCAGGAGCTCCTGACATTTCATGATGGAAATCAGAAGTCCCAGACCCCCGGACAGTACATATGCTCTCAAGATGAAAGGTACCAAATAAGCATTATATATCTCAGGTGACAAGTGAAATAGAATGCACATTATCCTGTGACTCTCAAGAAGTCAGACCTTAAGAAGCCTAGGAAACACAATTTTAGAGTACTGGCCTTATGTTAATGAGGCCAAGTGCCCACTTGCTTGTGAGAACATATGCTAGAAAGAAAATGCTAAGGCACACTAGTTTATACCCTGTACCTCCTCCTGCTGCCTCACAGTGCCCATTCCTTGTATAAACTTGTATGAAAAAAAATATTATTTAAAAGATATTTGAGATTTAATTTCTCATTGAGCAGAAGGCTAATGGGACTTTTTAGAATCTGAGATGTGATTATGCAGCCAAAAAATTAAAATGGCAGCTGCTTTCAAAGGAGATTGCTGCTGAGAAATGGAGAATTGCCAGCTGAGGTATGTGAAAGACTAGCTGGCCTTTTGCCTTTACATGGTTTAGGAAGGAGTGACAGAGCCATGCTCTTAAGAAGCCCTTAAATCACAGAAAACAAGAAATCATCCAGCTTTCAAGTTGGCCCATGCCTGTAAGAATAAGAGTTCAAATGTGCAGGGTCCAAACTGCTGTTTGCATTATGGGACATAAGGCAAATCATGTTGAATTTAGTACCTTGACTATTTCTTTGCTTTTTCTGGCCAGTGCAAATATTCATTCCTTCACTTTTTCTTAAATACAGCCAATGAGATCTTGCTAAAGTTTTCCAGAAAAAAAATAAATTCTCTTCAATTATAAATTTGCTGTGCAAAATATGAACCAAAAGACTAAATCATTGTTGTTAGAGTTTGAAAAAAATTACTTATTAGATTTATTAAGATTACACAGTAATAGAGTACATAGGAGAGCTACTGTGGAAAGCTCTTTATACCACTAATTATACCAAAAACTTCAATCAAGTAACTGCAGTAATAATTTCACTTAAGCTGATTTTAAGCATGTTTTGTATTGTTATATGGAAGACAATTTAAATAGTATAAATTCAGAATGAGCACATAAATTCTACCTCAATCAATGGTTTAAATTCATGTGTCACACAGAAGTCTTGGGAGCAAGATGGAAACTGATAGGACTGTGATCCATGTTTAGAATACTACAGTGCCACATTCAGTGTGGTTAGGGCTGTAGGTACCAAAATGTGTTCAATTGTACACATACAACACCTATGGACTTCAAAGGAGTCTGTAGTGGAATAAAGACAGAGAAACCTGCATGTGAGTTCTATTGGGATTTGTATGTTGTGAGGGCTGCAAAAGATGTGATGATGTACATAGTTTAAACCAATGCACATATTAATATAACTTTCCTGTGAAGCGACATATTGATTCTCATATTGATGCTTTAATGCATTTAATAAATGTTAATTTATTATTGCTTAGATTTATGGGCACATCAGCATACTGTTAGAATTTTGTATGCAGAACCCAGGACAACATAAGGAATTTCAATATGATAAATATCAGGGAAGTACTTTGCAGTTGCCTGAGATACAAGGCAGGCTGGGACTCAGACAGCACTATGACCCTTTTTAGTACAATATTTGGGAGATAGTAGAATTTGGTGTCACACTAAACCCACCCAGCCTGCTCCTTATTCTGGGAGTACAGAGCAGACACATCAGTGCTTCTTAACAGACCCGAATCAAACTGATCAGCAGGGGCTGAATCACAGATGTGATGAAGAGGGTCTGGCTTTGTGCCCAGTCATAGGAACAGGATTTGTGAAGTGCTGGCCTGGCTCTCCACATACCCTCAAGAGCCTGACAGGTTATTTCAGCTCCTCACTGCCTGAAAGCAGCTGTGCTGCCTCTGGGCCTGACCCTACAAGTGTTCATTTAGAACACAAAGCATGCACTTGGAAACTCCAGTGTGCCTTGTCCACACTGCATTGTCACCTCAAATGTCTCACTTTCTCTGGAACATACTTATCATGGCTAATAGAATTAATTATTAGATTGTAATTATTCAGTTATTCTTTCACCCAAAGTACAAAAGCAGATGAAAATTCTTATTGTCTATATGTCTAGTTTCTTATTCCTTTATCCTTCCCTGCCAGCTTTGCTGTATTTCATAGATTTTCATCAAAGGCTGAAAGAAAAGGTGGTTTTGCTTAGCTGCAGAGACAGATGAGCGTATTTTAACTGTTCAGGCCAAGTTTTATCTTCACAACTTGGTGTCATCTCTCCCTGCTGTATATACTGGACAGGAGGAGCAGTAGTCCATGGTCTGCCCCTGAATTTGCTACAGATGCTATTTAAACCATTAGACTATTATTTTTTATTATTATGAAATACCTAGTTTTCATAATTTTACTGTGTGGAGTCTGAGAGAAAGCCTGTGAATTTGTAGGAGCAAGGTACTCAAGTAACCTTATGGTTTTTATGTCCTCACAGATGATACCTCAGCTATAAAATTTATAATGTGTATAAGGTGGCCCTCCTTATGACCCTTATTTTCATTATCTTGACCTTCTCAGACTAAATTCAAATTAATTTCAACCCCAAATCTAATTTCAACATTGCTTTATCACTATGGGAAATTTACTCTTCCTCATCTGTTCCACATTTCTCCTAGCAATCAGTTCCAGAAGTCAAATGTAACTATTTTTTTTCTCAATTTGTTTCTGTATTGATGCATAGACACTTAAAAAACAAAGTTCTGATCCAGTGTCAAGACTCTGATGCAATGTTGAGGTTCTTCTATTTGTTTCTGTATGTGTATTATTCATGAGATATGGGGCATAAAATCTTTTGACTGCACTCTCTCAGAACTCCTTCGTGATAATTCATTAAATGACCTCTCAGTAGTAGACAGTTTTATTTATGTGACTACCACAACCCCCCTTTAAAATATGAGGTTTTCAAGGGCTAAAGGAACATGGTACTTTGATTCCAGGCAAATAAAATTCCTGTCATGTGGGTCAAAGGTGTTTTCAATAGCCTTCCTACTCTCGCTCCCAATGCCTTAGCTCTCACACAGATTCCTTATTTGCAAAACTGAGACCTCTAAAACATTATGCATATCACATTTTGTATATGTAATTCACTTTGTGAATTAGTCCTATATAGTTGGGACATGTAATTTAATTAGACTTTATGTGAAATAATGACTTGTGATCTGCAATGACTAAAGAAACAAATATTTTAATTATTTTCTGCAAATTCTTTCAGTAAAGAAGATACACTGCTATGAGTGCAGTTCAGATCAAATTCAAAAATTATTCTAGTGCAAGTGTTAATTTCAGA